AAAATGACATGCAATATCATTTTTAATGAAAATTGATGTTTGTTACTAAATAAAAGTGATAGAAATCAAGAAAGTGACTGAAAAAAGTGATAAACACTAAAAAAAAAGGTGAAAAAAATAAAAATAGTGACAAATTTTTAAAAAAGTGACAGTAAAAAAAAGTGACACTAAAAAGTGACCATTTACTCTCAACAGAATCCCAATTCAAATTAGAGCTTCATTCATAATGAAGAACACTATAGATGTCCAAAAAGGGATATTCTATTATGCGAACACATAACTATACTCATTAATCCTCATCTAAACCAAATAAGGGACGAAAATGAATGTAAAGAAAAAACAATAAGTAAACATATAGGTAGACGCATACACTGCATACAAAGGAATGTAGTTGAAGAAAACAAACACAAGGCAGACCTGTTTGAAGATGGCATCAGAGCTGAGAGGACTCTCTTTAATTCTCCAGTGAGCTGGTGCTGATGGCCGGTAAGAGAATTTCACGACGGATGCCTCCATCCCTTTACTACTCTCTCCATTCTCTTTGATTTTTTTATCATCCACCTCCTTGTTATTTATCAACTCTTCACTCTCCTCCGATTCCACGACACCACCACAGCCATTTATGATCTCATCAATATTCTCCGAGTCTTCATTTACCGCATTAAAATCAGACTCCGGTATTTTCTCAACGGCGGCGGCTGGTCTCCTCCGAATTGTACGGTTGTTGTCATTGTTTTGCATCCCCGTGATCGACGGTGTCGTTTCCGAACTCTCCAGCAACTCCAAGATCGTCACTTTATCATCAAACAGAATATTCTAAATGAAATAGAGAATCCCAGATAGAATTAAACAAAAAGTGCCACCAGAAAATGATTCGACATGCAAGGACAATACATAAGAAAATGGGTAAATATGAGGACAAAAGAGGAGGGGGAAGAAGAAGATAACCCACAAAATTTGAGGCAAAAAAAAAAATCAACTTTGGCTGTTTGTTCAATTCTTAATTATAATGGAATATCATAATGGACTTCAGATGATGATTATGTATTATCCACACACTATACATTCTCCACCACCAGCACTTCCTCTAGCTGTATTAAATCAACAAAAAAAAGGATAAAAACTACATGGAATACACATCAACATATATATAACAGAAAATTGAAAACTGGCCCTAAAAACAAACCTTTGCAATTCTCTCTAAAATCCATAATCAAGTTCAAAGACAACGAAAAAATATATCCACATAGCACTTCATTTCCATCTTAATCTATCCTCAAAAACCCAGTACTAGTGGAATAATATTTAATAAATATAGTTATTTTAACTTACCTTTTCTTCAATTTTCTTTCCATTTATAGCTGACAAAATTTTTTGAAATTAAAGAAACATATGCAATTCCTTAACCAATTAAATCGGACCTGACCTGCAAACAATTTTATTTTATATAATCCTGCCAACATGCTGGATTCAAGCCAATCGTAGTAACTCAGACCCAATCAAGAACTGGTAGACGGATGGTCTTAAATTATTCCGGTCGTCTCATGGGCGGAAGGGCATGGGGGTGAGGGCACCCAGCAGCCCCTACAACTTTTTAAATTTTTTTCCCATTTTATACAGATTT